ATGGAGATTCCTTGGAAATCTTGGAATGGAAACACCATTTGACCCAGTTATCCCTCTCCTAGGACTATACCCAAAGGACTTAAAAACAGCATACTACAGGGACATAGCCACATCAATAGCAGCACAATTCACAATAGCTAAACTGTGGATCCAACCTAGACATGCTTCAGTAGATGAATGAGTAAAGAAAATGTGGTATAAATCCACAATAGACTCTTACTCAGCAATAAAATAGAATAAAATCATGGCATTTGCAGGTAAATGGATGGAGTTGGAGAATATAATGCTAAGTGAAGAAAGCCAATCCCAAATCAAATGCCAAATGTCTTCTCTGATATAAGGATGCTGATTCATAATGGGGCTGGGGGAGAGCATGGAAGGAATAGACGAACTTTAAATAGGGCCAAGGGGAGGGAGGGGAAGGCAGAGGGTGTGAGGGTAGAAAAGACGGTGGAATGAGATAGACATCGTGACCCTAAGTACATGTATGAAAACATGATCGGTGTGACTCTACTTTGTGTTCAATCTGAGACATGAAAAATTGTACTCTATTTATTTAATATGAAATGAATTGAATTCTGCTGTCATATATAGCAAATTAGAATAAATAAAATAAAAGAAACTATTTCAAACAAAACATGCATGTACTCTATGATTCATTAATCTCTCTCTTAGATATGTACAAAGAAAAAACCTACTCAAAAGTGTTCACAGCAGCATTAATATTAATAGCTACAAACTGGAAACAACAACCATAATTTCTATCAATAGCACAAATGAAAAATAAGTTGTACCATATTCACATAATAGAATATTATACAGGCGTGACAGTGAAAGAAGTCCATGCTATATGCAACAGCATGTGTAATTCTCACATTATTCAGAGAATGAAATAAGTGAGTTCAAGCTCATATTTCGATTTATATGAAGTTACAAAGGAATCAAACCAACCTGCATTGAGAAAAGTCAGGATGGTAATTGCCTCTGGATGGGTATGACAGGAGATTTTGAGAGAGCTGGTGAAGTTCTGACTCTTGATCCAAGTTGTGATGATCCCCCTGGGCCACCTTAGTAAAAGTCCTTAAGTTGTATACCTATGACTTAGATCTTTTTTTCTTCTTGGTCTATTTGATTTCAATAAAATTCACATCCCCCTAAACAAACACAGAAGCATGCTTTCTTATTTCCAGGCAGTTCTTATAGATGACTGAATAATAATGCTAGGAAAAGAGAAGTTATTGTCTCATTTCAGACACAGGAAGTAGCTCAAATGTCAGCTATCTCACTCCACTCAATTTACAGGTGAATATTTGAAATATAGTTTCATTATTTATTTTAGTTTAGTTTTTAAGAACTGGGGATTGAACTAAGGGGCACTTTACCACTGAGCTCTGTCCTCAGCCCTTTTTCTTTTTTATTTGAGACAGGGTCTTACTAAGTTTCTGAGGCTAGCCTCAAACTTGTCATCCTCCTGCCTCAGCCTCCTAAATTGCTGGGATTACAGCGATGTGACACCATGCCCAGCTATTTTCATTACCTTTCAGGTATGATGAGGCCAACAGACAAGAGATTAATGCCATTGAAAAGATGGTTTATTATACTTATAGGTTCCAAATGAAAGGTACTTGCTATACCTTAGGGGGCAAAACAAGGAAGCACGAGAGCCTGCCAGGGAATAGAGGGAGTAGAGGGCAACTGGAGCAAGAGCCACTATTATGGTTTTCACAATAAGGAATGGGTAAGATAGAATAGGCTGGCTTAGGACTGGCTGTTTTGGATAATTCTGTCACATTTGAGGTACCATCCCACCTGTCTAACAGTGCCTCTGGAATTCAGGCCTAGAGTGTGAGAGCTCCCTAGAGGAAGTGATTAGGGGTATAGACTCAGAATTTAGACCTGGAGTGTGAGAGCTCCTAAGAGGAAGTAGTTAGGGGTGTGGGCTCTCAGATGGTTGGTTAGCACAGGAAAGACATGCACACAGGGAGTTAGCTAGCCCTGGGAAAGGCAGTACCTCCAGGGTCAGCAAATCCCCAAGATGTCAAAGCATCAAAATTACAGAATAAAAAGTTAAAATTAGTATGGTGAGTCAGGGTCAAAAAACTTAGTGATCAGCCCAAAGTCATCTACTGTGTATCAGAGCCTGGATTCTCCTGTTCCATGCTGACTATATTGGGGAGGATTTTTTGGTGGCGTGGAGCTTATGATTAAACAACTCATAATATGCAGTTGACACATTTCAGCATTGTCACACATTTCATTTGCATCACAAAAGTTCGGTCAGGTAAGTGGTGAGGAGGGAATGAAAACAGTATGTGCATTTTAGAGATAAATAAACCAAAAGTCAAAGAGAAAAAAGGATAAATAAATTGTTCAAGGTTGCATAACTAGGAAGAGGAAGAGACCGAAATTAGTACTTTAAAATTTGTTTAGCACATAACCTTTAACTGATGAGATAAAGAGAACACTGAAAGATAAGGGGGAACAATGGGTGAATCAGAAGTTAAAAAATATATCTAAGTGTGTATTGTAAACCCTCTATATTTCATGGAAAGAAGAGAGCTATGGAAGGGAAGAAAGATACCGATCCAAGAGGGGTGGACAAATTGGCCAAAGAAACCTGAGTCCCAAGGATAAGGCACTGAGTCAGGTTTGAGCCAAAGCATGCATGGTACTGAGGTTGCATCTGGAAATGCCCTTGCACTCTGGCCTGGGCCTCTCTGCATGGTGGATAGTCACAGGCAGGAAGAGAAGAGAGGGGAAGCCAGAGGGGGTCCTTATAATCTTTGGTGTGAAAATTTTCCTGTTTATATCTTCAGGCAGGAAAACAGGGGACCATGAAGATAGAAGGTGAGACCCAGCATGAACTGGACAGAATCCTTCACTGGCTTTGGCCTGGTTGGGTCCCAGGACATGGTAGGTTATGGGCATCTGTGACTGCGATGGGGATAGGAGTAGGCTTGATGGTCAGGGTCTCTGAGGAGACAATCCTTGGGATCTAGAATTGTTCTGAGCCTTAGGGGGTTATGAATGGAATTCAGATGCTTTCAGGTGTGGTGGGAGTGGTGTCAGGAGAGGTTGGGGTTCTGTCTCAGAGGAGCAGAGCTGGGAAGAGGTTCTGGCAGAGTCTCCAAAGCGCTCCTGTCTCTGAGATGGATCTTATCTCTGTCCTGGGCATGGCACAGCCCCACCTCCGTGATCTCCCAACACCAGGCCTGCAGCTCAGGATCCCCGCTCACAACATCATCCCTCTGGTAGAAGAGGTGGATGTTCCCCTCCACACACCTACTCAGAGAAGGGAGCTGAAATCTGTGATCCCAGAAGGCTCCAGCCTCTGACCTCTACTATTCTAATCATGCCACTAAACCTGGGTCAAGTCCTAGTAGACTTGCCTTTTGGAACATTCCCCAGGTTTATGACACAATTGTGTAAAGGAAGTTGTAAGTCAAGAGTTCCAGGAATTCCCTACACTGCACATGGTTGCCAGACACTCTTCTTAACATAATCCCCCATACCACCAGATCCTATGGTTTACTCACTCACAGCTCTCCTCACCTCCATTTTCTGCCTCTCTCCTACCCTCTTTGCTTTTGCCCCATGCTGATCTCAAGCCAGAGCCCCACCCTCCTCCTCCCACTCCCACTCCCCATTTCTTAGCTGCTTCTCACCCACCGGCCAAGGCATCATGAGCATAGAGAGCACTTGGGATTCCCAGAAGACCCCGGTCAGCCAGTCATCAGGAGGACAGAGGGAGCAATAGGTCAGCTGAGTCATTGCCCGACGGGCCAAATCTAGATGACCACCTCCACCTGTGCTCACTGCCTAGGATGAAGAAGTTAACAGGGCTTGAAGAACAGAATAATTGCCTTTTATACAGGGATTCAGAAATGGGTTGTTCAGATTTAAAGTCATCTATGTGGTGGAACAGGGCTCACGAGTTTAAGGATCAGGCCATTCACGCAGGTTGGTCTGGGGTCTTGAGGATGTCAAGAAGTCATAGAGAGGTGGATGATGAGGCAGACCCATGTTCAAGTTCCTCTTTACCTTTGCAAATATTCCTTCATCTGAGTTAAACTGGATCCGGCCCCGGGTGTTGATTTCCATAGTGTTGTGGACATGGGGCGCCAGGAGCTGGGGCGCAGGAGATTGGAGGGGTGGTTAATGGAGGCCATGCTTGGGTCCTTTCTTGTGGGGGGCTGGAACACAGCATGGTGTCCTGCTCTCCTCTTGATGCTTTTGTCCCTGCTGCTACTTTGACAGTCTGGTCTCCTGATTCTTTAACCACTCACTTCCATATCCTCCAACTTCCATGACAGTTGGGCTTTGGAGCCACACTAAGTGGGGTTTGAGTGCACATTTCACTACTCACCTTGATACCTGAGCAACATAATGAACCCTCTAAGTGTCAGTCTCCTCATCAGTTACCAGGGGCATGATGGGGTGTCTTATCTCAGGTGCTGCAGTACTGCTTCTGAGAGTGACTGAGCAGCAGGTTTGGAACACTACCTGGCACACAGAAGTTCTTGAGATCTTTGCCTTTATTATATTCACTTGAACACAGTTGTATTTTAAAGAATCTGCCCCTTAACTTTTGATATAATGTGTTCTTTCTCTATATTTCACATCATCATAACTTAAACAAGCCTGTGCTTATTTCAAAACCACACATCTAACTACTCAACATTTTCCTTTTTTAATTTTAGGTCTTAATCAGGATTAAAGATGTCACATCAAGCTACCTGTTTAAGCCATTCCTAATTAGGCCCTATATGTCCCCTAATGAAGGCCAATTATCATTGACTGTTAAGGTCTGTAGACAAGTCAAAATAACACGTGGTATTTTGCCAGAGAAATGTTAGAGTTCATAAACAAGTCTGGATGGTGCCTGGCAAAATGCCAGAGGGAGTGGTTTGAGAAGTAACAAAAG